CTTATTACTTATTAATCTATCAAAATAAACTAAATATTAATCTTTTTACTCTCTCTTCCTTTTCCTCTCTTTCCTTCACCTCCTTTTTCCTTCACTTTCCTATACTAGTTTTTATCCTCCTAGAATTCATCTGTTCACCACTGTTTTTCTTCTTCCCTCTCTCCCCCCTAAATGGGCCACGACTGGGTTCGTGATGAACGCAGGACGAGATTCGTTGCGAACCCAGACGACCTGGGTTCCTCATGAACCCAGCAAGGGGTTCAAAGCAAACCCAGACGATCTGGGCTCATCGCGAACCCAGACGAACCCAGATCTGGGTTTCTGAGGAACCCAGCACTGGGTTTGCCTCCTCTATCCTCCTTCCTTCAGTATTCCGACATTCTCTACTTCCATTTTTGTCATTCTTTCCCTTCTCCATCCCCCTCCCTCCGTATAATAACTTGAATATACGGAACACACTTTTTCAATTAACTGCACACTGCACACACATAATCATTGAAAACGAAACGACAATCAAAATCAATCAAAACAATAACAAAATGCTCAGAAGAATCTGGGTTTGTGAAACCTGAATATGGGTTTTTTTAATCCAAATCTTGTTCGTTGAACCTAGAAATGGTTTCTTTCAAATCTAGTGATTTGAATTTTCAAAGAGAGAAGGAGAGGTAGGACCGGACTGCTGGGAAAGGAAAAGGGAGTAAGTGAGTGGCTAGAGAAAGGATAGGAAAGGGGAGATCGACAATGATAGAGGAGAAAGGAAGATGAATGGTCAGAGAGAGGCATTGGCATTTAACCTTTATTTTTTCCTAATAAACTTTCTCTTGTGGTTTCTTTGTGCAGGTTGGACAACTCAATTTCTCCCGAAGTAAATATCGTGAACCAGCTAATAACGGCAGTCACTCCTCTTGTGCAACAAAATCCTGTACTCAATGCGTTCTGGCCTTCTTTCATGTCATCCATATATTGTATAATGATGATGTTGCGTACTGTAACACAACTTATACAAGTTGCCAATGTTCGCCTTCATCCCGATTTCGGCACAGACTTCTGGAGTAAAATCCTGGAGACAATCACTTTCCTGACAAGCTCATTGGCTGTAATTTCCCTCCTCTCAATTAACAAACCATATATCGCCTTGTTCTGGTTTATTGTATGGCTCCTCTATGCTGCACACCGTATTCACACCTTGATTCTGGACTTAAACCGACCAACGTTGCCCATTACCAGCCACAGCTACGTGGGATCCAATTCTAATTACGTCACTACAATTATTGGAAAAATGAAATTTTGGGCTACAAACTTGCTCCAGTGGTGTGCTGCAGTACTAATTCCAATGGTTCGTCCTAGGAGAATGCTTGATCGCCCCATTGGTGACAGGGTCCAGCAGGTTGATGTTTAAATTAGTTTCAAATGTGTATTTTTTTATTTTTTATTTTTTTGTTCTGATAAAAAAATGTTTAGTGTTGTATGTTATATGTATCATTTGGTAGGTGGAGTATTTCTTATATCTACACCATTCCGTTTACATTTGGCTATCAAGAAAAGAAAAATCGATTTAAGCAGGTGTGTAATAATAATTGTCTACTGATTCTTAATTTGATTGCTCCAGGTGTCACAGAAACAGATAGGATTTGCACATTAATGTTTTAGAGCTTAAAGATCTTAACACAATGGCTCTGAATATGATAATGGGGAATACCAGAAAATGCATGCTTGCACAGAAGGTTCCCCTGATAGTGCATAGGACATAGACCAAGCAAACCATTACACTTCACATTAAAATTCTTAACAAAATGATTTATATCTTGGATTTGGGTCTTTCTCTGGATTTATATTGCTACTTGAGTCTTGTGTGCTCCATGTATTTCCACAAAAAATGTGCATCTAGCTTACGTTTCTGTTAAATTGATGGATTTATTGTTAGTATTTTTCGTTTTTATCTGCATGTATGAGGGATTTTCTATACTAGCATCTATCCATTTAGATCTTTGTTGTCTGTCATTTACTACATAAATTTAAATGATATAACATTGAATTCTTGGCAAATTCAGTCCCAAGTTCAACTGAGAGGTGACTTCTTGACTGCTAGCTATATCCTAATTTCAAATTTCAGAAGTAGAGGGTGAATCAATTAATAAGTTTATATGTTTGAATTTTTGCCACCATCCAAAAGAAGCTGCAGAATGTCGGATTAGTATTTGGGGTTATTTAAGTGGAAAGAACCACCAGCTAAGCCATAAACTTGCCTTCAAATTACTTCCTAATGCAAGTTTCATTGATTTGCAGGGTTGAGTAGCTAGTACTAGATGAATCTGATAAGCTAGTTGAGCCTGGATTGTCAAAGCAGATTGATAGTGTGGTTAAGGCATGCTCTAATCCTTCAATAATACGCTCATTGCTTAGTGCTATTTTACCTGATTTTGTTGAGGACCTTGTGCGCACAATAATGCATGATGCTGTTTGTGTTATTGTCAGTAGGAAGTATGATATGCTTTCTTTCCATAAATGAGAGAAATTCCCTCCAATATTTATCATTTATTAACATTTTGTAGGGATACTGCTTCAGAATCAATCATTCAAAAGTTGGATTTTGCTGGAAGTGAATCTCAGAGGTATACTGCTGTTATGGGTCTTGTTTATCTTGCAATAAATATTAGTTTTTTTTTTAATTATTATTTGAAGATGGAAAACATGTTTACATAAAAATAACAGGCCACAGCCAGGCCTTGAATAGCATTGAACATGAGCTTTTTTAGTATTTTCAGCTGGAGCATTTCTCTTGACAGCCCTTCTTGTTTGTTGTATTATGTGCTGGGAGTAGAGTCTGAACCCACCAGTGTTAATCTTTATGCAAAGCAAGGAACGGGCAAAGGAACTTTATGAAGAACTGAAATTTGAAGATATTAGAGTTGATGTCATCCATTCTGATCTCTCCCAAGCACAGGTATTCTTATTTTCATTATCATTGGCTATACTGGACTGTATCCTTTTCTAACCTCCAAATCATTCTACAGGAGATTACTGTAATACAAGATTGCTAATGGAGAAATTGTTCCCTTTTTTTACACACCTTTTGTTTAGCTGCCTGTTGGGATTGTGAGTGTTAGGAGCATCCTAGCAAGCCTCTAAGATGGATAGTTGAAAGTAAAATGGATTTTGATGCATGGGTTCTATTGTCTGCATATGATTCTCATCTGGACATTTTATATGATCATTTATGTTTGTAATTTTAACTACTGTATTTCACTCTATGCTTATCTCTTGTATTTGAAAACAGCGTGAAAATGCAGTTGATGATTTCAGAGCTGGCAAAACGTGGGTTTTGATTGCTACTGATGTTATTGCTCATGGTATGGACTTCAAGGGTGTCACCTGCGTGATAAATTATGATTTTCCAGATTCTGCTGCTGTATACATTCACAGAATTGGTATGTGAACTGATTCTTAGCTGTAACCAAAAGCTTTGTCATTCACTCATTTGTTTGAGTTTAACAGAAAACGTTTATACTAGTTTCTAGGAAATGGTATGATTACTTAATTGGTTAATCCTAGCTTTTGTAGTCCTGTAATCTGAAAAAAACTACTAAACTATACTGCCTATTTTTTTCTATAGATTTTCTGCAAACTTGATACAATTTGCTTCTATTAGTTGGTGCACACATTGCATTTAAGTTTCTTTGTTGGTCTGAGACTGAGTTTATGCCTTTATGGATTCCCAAAATTGGTCAGTCTGGCAGAGCAGGGAGGAGTGGAGAAGCTATAACTTTCTACTCAGAAGTTGATATTCCTTAATTGCCTTATTTGTAGAAAAAAGTTCCCTCTCTGTTGCTGAGCAGTGTGCATGGGCATTGGGAAATGTAGCTGGTGAAGGAGAGGAGTTGAGAAATGTTTTGCTATCTTAAGGGGCCTTACTACCTCTTGCAAGAATGATGCTGCCAAACAAAGGTTCCACTGTGAGAACAGCTGCTTGGGCATTGTCAAACCTTATCAAGGTT